AGCCTAAAGCTTAAACCCTAAACCCTAAACACTAAACCCTAAACCCTAAAGCCTAAAGCCTAAAGCTTAAACCCTAAACCCTAAACCCTAAACCCTAAACCCTAAACCCGAAACCCTAAACCCTAAACCCTAAACCTTAAACCCCAGACCCTAAACCCTAAACCCTACACCCTAAACCCTAAACCCTAAACCCTAAACCCTAAACCCTAAACCCTAAACCGCAACCCAACTCAGAACCCCTAAAGACCCTGAGTCCTACAGCCTACTCTGGGTCGGAACTAATTGCAAGTAGTATTCCCTTCTGGTCCCCGTAGGATTCTACAAGAATAGCCACCCCAGAGAACCCTGCTTTAAAGTTTACGGCCCCTGTTTAGCAACTGTTGAGAACTCCTTGCCTTGGGGCTTGCTGACACTGAAGTGACCATTAGGGTCTAGGGTTTAGGGTTTAGGGTTTAGGGTTTAGGGACCAGACTGGAGCAGGGTCGTTTGGTCGTTTAGGCCCCCGACGCCCGAAGCTTCCAGAAGCCCTGAAGCTCGCTAAGCCCTCTTGACCTAAGCTCCTGCAGCTCCCCAGCCTCCCTAAACTCCCCTAACTCCCCTAACTCCCTAACCCCTAACCCCTAACCCCTAACCCCTGACCCCTAACCCCTAACCCCTAACCCCTAACCCCTAAACCCTAAACCCTAAACCCTAAACTCAAAACCCTAAACCTCCGAAAAACTCCCCCTAGTTGCCACCCAAAGACATTGGGGCCTGTCGAACTTTGATGGCGTGCCCTCTTCCTCACGGCAGCACCGCAGTGCTCGTCAACTTGTCGAGCAGACCAGCCCCTCCGAAGGCATTCACGTTTCTTCGGGTTTAGGGTTTAGGGTTTAGGGTTTCGGGTTTCGGGTTTAGGGGATCCTGCGCTCTGCAAAAGGTTTGGTGAGTTTAGTGAGTTCGGGATTAGTGGTTTAGGGAGTTTAGGATTGTGGAGGTGTAGGGGTGTAGGGGTGGGGAGTGCAGGGCTGTAGGTTGCGATTTGTCCCCTTACTAGTCCTTAATAAGGATTATAGCACGGGGTACCATAATCCCTACTAAGGACGGTTGGCATAAGCGTGGAACATCGCATGGTGTAGGATTGTCATATGCTACTTTTGACAGTATTGGGGTTTAAGGTTTTAGGCCTTAAGCCGCAAGCCCTAAACCCTAAACCCCAAACCCCAAACCCCAAACCCTGAACCCCAAACCTTACACCCCAAGCCCGAAACCCCAAACCCTAAACCGGGAGTCAACAGGGCCACCAAAACCGCCGAGAACCGACGTTTTGGGGGTGGCGGGTTTCGGGTGAAATAGGGTTTGGGGTTTCGGGTTCCTGTGCCTTGCAAAAGGTTTGGGGAGTTTAGGGAGTTCGGGATTCGTGGTTTAGGGAGTTTAGGATTGTGGTGGTGTCGGTTTATTGTGGGAAGTGTAGGGGTGTAGGGTTTTAGCGGTTTGAGGTTTTGGGATTGGTCGGGAACCTCCGGTTCTAGGGAGCCGGCCATATTCCATAGTTGTCGGTTTTGGGGTTTGTAGGTTTTAGGCCCTTAAACCGCAAGCCCTAAACCCTAACCCCCAAACCAAACCCTAAACCCGAAACCCCAAACCCTAAACCCTGCCCCTAAACCGAAACCGCAAGCCCTAAACCCTAAACCTCGAGTCGACAGGGCCCCCAAAACCGCCAAGACCCAAGCAGAAGAAGCCGAGGTTTTTGGGGAGTTAGGGTTCAGGGTGAAGGGTTTGTGGTGGTGCGGGGCTTAGGGTTTGGGCTTTCTTTCGGTGCAGGGCTTGGGGTTTACCCTAAACCCTAAACCCAACCCTGAACCCTGAACCCTAAACCCTAAACCCTAAACCCTAAACCCTAAACCCTAAACCCTAAACCCTAAACCCTAAACCCTAAACCCTAAACCCTAAACCCTAAACCCTAAACCACAAACCCTGAACCCTGAACCCTCAACCCTGAACCCTAGACCCTGAACCCTGAACCCTGAACCTGAACCTGAACCCTAAGCATCCCTAAGCCCTAACAACCTTAGAACGACGAGTTTGGGGTTTGGTGTTTTTGGTTGCAACCCTAAACCCTAAACCCTAACCCTAAACCCTAAACCCTAAACCCCAAACCCTAAACCCTAAGCCCCAAACCCTCAACCCTAAACCCTAAACCCTAAACCCTGGTCCCCAAGCCTCCGCCAGACCAAGGACTTGAATGGTGAAAAGGCTCCCCGTCTGCCATTGGGGGGGGGGGGGGGGGGGGGGGGGCCTTCAATGTAGGGTTTAGGGTTTAGGGTTTAGGGTTTAGGGTTTAAGGTTTAGGGTTTAGGTTCCGGGTTGGAGGTTTCGGTTTTGGGTGGACATGATGTCGAGAGTGTGGGGCTCAGTGATTGGGGCTTGCCCCTCAAAGCCCCTATCCAGAAACCCTAAACCCAAAAGAACCTAATAGCCCCAAACCCTAACCCCTAAACCCTAAACCCTAAAACCTGAAGCCTAAAACCTATCCCCTAAACCCCAAACCTCAAACTGGTGGGCTTTAAGCGGGTCTTGAGTTGCTGGCGATCCGGAGATCTAGAACCCGAAGACTGCAGCGTTTAGGGTCTAGGGGGTTTTAGGGTTTAGGGTTTAGGGGTTGCTTGGGGTTTAAGGCCCTTAGGGGATTCCCGCCTGCTGAGGCCCGCACCCCACCCTAAGCCCAAACCCACCTCCCAAATCCTAAGCCCTTGAACCCAAATCCAACACCCTACTTATTCGCCCTAAACCCTAAACCCTAAACCCTAAACCCCAAACCCCAAACCCCAAACCCTAAACCCTAAACCCTAAACCCGAAACGCTTCCCTCAGCGGCTCTTGCCATCTTAGGTGGAGCTGCTGACCTGGATATCGGGCAGGGGTCGCAACCTGTCTAAAGAAGGGCCTTTCGGGCCTTTCGGGCCTTTAGGGGCCTTTAGGGGCCTTTAGGGCCTTTCGCCTGTAAAGGCCCTTTGAGGGCCTTTAAGGTCCCCAGAGGGTCTTGAGGGCCCTTTAACAGGCACTAAAGGCCGCCCTTAGGGGCTTTAAGGGCATAAAGTTAAGGGCCTCTGAAAATCTTTAGGGCCTTGAAGGCCTTTCGGGCCTTGAAGGTTTAGGGTTCCGGGCTTACAGGTCTTGGCCTAGTTTGTTTTTTCGGTTCCTCTTTGGTGTTGCGTTTTCCCCACTCCCTCTCTCTCTCTCTCTTTCTCTTTCCCGGTCCCTCTCTCCCTCCCTTCTTCCTGATCGGGTGTGGGTGGTGTATGGACCCTAGGGAATTGCGTTCTCCACCCCAAGCCCCAAATAAAACTACCTACGCGTGGGGGTTTAATCAGGGTTTAGGGTTTAGAGTTTAGGGTTTAGGGTTTGCGGTTAGGTTGTGCTTGTTTGATGGTTGTTTCCCGTCATCAACAATTACCTGTGAATATAGTCCCCCCATCCCGCCAGTTTTGTCACCCGCTTTTCCGCTTTTGCTTACTCATCATTCGGGTTTAGGGACCCTTTGCATGAGTTTCGCTGGCCTTCATTTGGGTTTAGGATTTCGGGTTCAGGGCTTAATTCGAGTGTAGGTTTTTTTTGGTTTTAAGCGTTTGGGATTTTCGTGATTTACGGTCGAGGATTCAGGGTTTCGGGCGTTGTTTGCTGTCTTGGGGGTGCAGGGTATTTGGGTTTAGGGACTTGGAGAGGTCGAATTTCGGCTTAGGGTTTGGGGTTTCTTGGGTCTAGGGTTTAGGGGTTTAGGGGTTTAGGGGTTTAGGGGTTTAGGGGTTTAGGGGTTTAGGGGTTTAGGGTTTAGGGTTTAGGGTTTAGGGTTTAGGGTTAAAAAACCATTTTCTCTGTGAGGTTGGTGCTGCCGACGCCTGGAGAACGACGCCCTCATCAACGTGCAGCTCCAGAATCTGTGCCGCCGCCCGGAGGGTTGGGTTCATTATTACTATGATTGTGATTATTAAGATGATGATCACCAGAGGCCCAACCCCAGAGTCTCCCTAGAGTGCCCAACCCCAGAGTTCCAGAGTCTCCCTGGAGTGCCCAACCCCAGAGTCTCCCTCGAGTGCCCAGCCCCAGAGTGTTGCTGGAGTGCCCAACCCCAGAGTATCTCTAGCAAGAAAGGGTGGGGATGTTCGAAGTAATTTTTTTTTTTTTTTTCGGGGGGGGGGGGGGGGGGGGGTTGGGGATTCTGGGGGCTTTCAGGGCTTTTGGTTGGGGTTTGTGGGCTTAGTTTGGCTTCAGGGCTTCGGGCTCAGGACTTGGCTTGAACCCTGAGCTTCCTCAACTTCCTCAACTTCCTCAACTTCCTAAACCTCCTAAACTTCCTAAACCCTTAACCCTAAGCCCTAAGCCCTAAGCCCCAAGCCCCAAGCCCTAAGCCCTAAGCCGTAAGCCCTAAACCCTAAATCCTAAACCCTAAACCCTAAACCCTAAACCCTAAAACCCTAAAACCCTAAAACCCTAAAACCCTAAAACCCTAAAACCCTAAAACCCTAAAACCCTAAAACCCTAAAACCCCAAACCCTGAGTCAAGAATCTCTAGCCCCCCCCCCCCCCCCTCTGCCGAGAAGAATCCCGAGGCGTCCGTTTGAGGAGGCGCAGGCGCAATCTGGGTTTGTGGTGCTTAGGGTATTTGATTTCTTTGGGGTCAAGGGGGCGAATAGGGTTTAGGGCTTTAGGTTTAGGGTTGAGGGTTTAGGGTTTTAGGTTTAGGGTTTAGGGTTGAGGGTGAGGGTGTTGCAGGATTCTAGAAAGCCCTGACCACATCTTCGTGCTGATGTCCCCTAACCCTCTACTAACCCTAAACCCTAAACCCTAAACCCTAAACCCCAAACCCTAAACCCTAAACCCTAAACCCCAAACCCTAAACCCTAAACCCTAAACCACAGACGGACCTTCGACTCCGAGCCCCGAACATCCAGTGCCCACGGGGCACTGGCGCTCGTCCTGGCCGCTGCGATGTCAGGGGACCCAGTGCCGTGAACTCCGCGGATGGCGCGGCCGCGAGGAGATCCGAGTTCCCAGCGTGCTGTCCTAGCTTCCGTCTTGCCCCCGGGAATTCCGGGAATTTTCAGAATTTTCTCTTCCCGGGACTTCCTGGTTGCGGAACTGAACGATGTGATGAGGCTCTACATCCTGCCGCTTGGCCGGTCCAAGCTAGAAGTGCCGGGAGAGGCTCTGGATTGCTTGGTGGCCTTGCTGCGCACCGAGTATCTCACTGGAGCAGATTCCATGCGAAGCGTGCTATCTGAGATCCCGGATTTGTGGCATCAGGATGCCGGGCGTGTCTGGAAACAGTACGCAGCCACCTACCCTGATCTAAGCTGAGCGTAAACTGTGCCTGATGTTGGAGGTTCGGGAATTTGGGTTAGGTGGGGTTGAGACTATGTTGGGTTAGGCTGGGTTTAGGCGATGTGAGGTCGGGTTCGGGATTTGTGGTTCGATGGGCTTGGTTTTGGTGAGGTTAGGTCAGGTTGGGTTTGGCTTCAGGTGAGGTTGGCTAGGGTTCGGGATTTGTTTGGTGGCATTGAGATTAGGTTGGGCTTGGCTGAGGTTACCGTTACAGGTCAAGGTACGGGGGTTTACGGTGGGGCTACTTGGAGGTTCATAGTAACTGTACTTATAACCATATTAGGGCACTTAAGGGGCTTATATGTGGGTTATAAGTACAGCCATAATTGGTTAATATGTACCATGAACCTCCAAGCAGGGTTTGGGGTTTACGGCTCGGGATGTTGGGCTCGGCTTAAGTTGGGGGCGGGCGATCTTCAGGTCAGGTCGCCTAGGTCCAGGTCCAATTAGGTTACCCTAAACCCTAAAACCCTAACACCCTAAACCCTAAACCCTAAACCCTAAACCCTAAACCCTAAACCCTAAACCCTAAACCCTAAACCCTAAACCCTAAACCCTAAACCCTAAACCCTAAAACCCTAAAACCCAAAACCCTAAACCCTGAACCCTAAACCCTAAACCCTAAACCTTAACAGCCTTAAGCCCACGGATGCTGCAGACCTGCGACGCGAAGCACGACCTGGAGGCCTCCGAGGAGGTGGGAGGGGTTCTGGGAGGATGTCCAGGGTTTAGGGTTTAGGGTTCAGAGTTTAGGGTTTAGGGTTTATGGTCTAGGGTTTCAGGGCTTTGGGGTTTCGGGTTTAGGGTTTCAGGGCTTTAGGGTTGAGGGTTGAGGAGGGTTTAGGGTTTAGGGATTAGGGTTTAGAGTTTGGGGCTGAGGCTGTTAAGCCTAAACCGAGGCTGCAGAGGAGGCGGAGGGGTTGTGAGAGGGTTTCGGGTTCGCATACCTTATGCTCCAAAGCCCTAAGCCCTAAACCCTAAACCCTAATGCAACCCTAAACCCTAACCCCTAACCCCTGAGCCCTAAACCCTACAACCTCAACCCTAACCCCTAAACTCTAAACCCCAAACCCCAAACCCCAAGCCCTACCCTGATTTTGGGGTTGGGGTTTGGGGAGTGAAGGCGCCGGTGGAGCCTGCCAAGCAGCGGCCACGGCGCCGTCGCTGGGCACGATGGCTCCGACGTCCTGCGCCGGACAGGGCGGAGGGTTGAGAGTAAGGGGCTTGGGGTTTAGGGCTAATTAGGGTTTATTCATGTGGGTTAGTTAGGGTTGATTAGGGTTCGGGGTTTAGGGGTTTAGGGTTTAGGGTTAATTAGGGCTTAGGGTTTAGGGGTTTTAAAGGGTGTAGAGGGTTTAGAGGCGCCACCCCGGGGTTTTTGGGTGGTTTGGGCTTTAAGCTTCCCAGCCTGAACCCTTGCCGTCTCACTCTCGGCCGCGATGCCGATGTAGGGTTTCGCGTCCAGTGTAGGCTCGAAGTTATACTTCTCTTTCCTAAACCCTAAGCCTTCTCCCTAAACCCTAAACCCTAAACCCAAAACCCAAAACCCAAAACCCAAAACCCAAAACCCTAAACCCTAAACCTTCCCCCGAGCCCAATGAGCCGCGAACACAATCTCGCCAGGAGCCACCAGGGGATGCCACGCCGGCGCTGGGTGTGGGACTCAAGACCTTCGCAACTTGGCAAGGAGGAGGGTTTAGGCTTTAGGGTGTAGCGTTTAGGGTTTGGGGTTTAGGGTTTGGGGTTTAGGGTTTAGGGTTTAGGGTATAGGGTTTAGGGCTTGGGGTTTAGGGTTTGGGTTTAGGGGTTGTTGGTAGCCTCGTTCCCTCCATCCCCGACTGAAGCCATGGAAAGCACTAAGCCACAATACCCCGAATCCATGGAACCCAAGATCCCAAAATCACAAAAACCCCCCCAAAACAGCCAAAACCTCGTGCCTTAAAACCCTGAAACCCTAAGGCTTATAGCCCTAAGCCCCAAGCCCCAAGCCCCAAGCCCCAAGCCCCAAGCCGTAAGCCCTAAGCCCTAAGCCCTAAGCCCTAAGCCCTAAGCCCTAAGCCCTAAGCCCTAAGCCCTAAGCCCTAAACCTTAAACCCTAAGCCCTAAACTCTGAACCCTAAACCCTAAACCCTACGCCCTTGTGGCTATCCGAGGTGATCAACCTCGCCAGACGCCCCGATCGACGGGCGTCCATCGAGGCGCCTCCTTGAGTATTCAGAGGGGTCCCCCAGACCTTACAACTTGGGATGTTCAAGGGTTTAGGGTGTAGGGTTTAGGGTTTAGGGTTTAGGGTTTAGGGTTCAGGGTTTGGATGTTCACCCCTTATACTAACAGTCCTTGATAGGGATGATAGTAGGTACTATAATCCCTATTTAGGACTGTTCGTATACGGGAGGAACATCTCAGCTTACAACCACAAAGACGGGTGAGGTGGGGTCAATAAGCGGCTTAGGGTTTAGGGTAACAAAACATCAAACCTGTTTACGGTGTTGTATACAAGGTCCCTAGACTTACTTCTGGTGCTTTCACCGCGCAGAGAAGAAGAGGAGAGTGCGAGAGACAAGCAGACCCGATACCTTAAATCCTAAACCCCAAAGCCCTAAACCCTAAACCCTAAACCCCAAAGCCCTAAACCCTAAATCCTAAACCCCAAAGCCCTAAACCTAAAACCCTAAAGCCGCCTCTCAATAAGTCAACCCATGCCAGCTCGCAAGCCATGTCGAAGGCCGGGGTTTTCAGCCCAGGAACCTCTTCACACCCCAAAAACACGCAAGTAAGATGCGTTCACCTTAGGAACCTGAGACTAGTTTTTTTGGTAGAGTTTAGGGTTTAGGGTTTAGGGTTTATTGAAAGTATTGAGGTTTCAGGTCCGGGGAAGTTTCGGGGAGTGTGGGAGAGTTCGAGGAGTTTCTGTTTTGGATTTTTCTCGGAATAAATTCAAGTTACAGGGGCTTGAGGGTTTAGGGTTTAGGGTTTAGGTGAGAGTCCCAAAAGGGGCAGCATGCTAATTAACTGGGGTTCTACCACCTTCGACCACGGAAAAAGAAGGCGTGACAACCGCCCGCAATGGGGGCCATAGTTGCGCATCGCACGATACGACGCACCCTCGACCCGATTTCGAACCCTGAGCCCTGCACTCCGACTTCTGATCCCAGTGTGAACCCTAAACTTCGAACCGCTTGTCAGTGCTTTTTCGATGGGATGCTACTGAGGTGTGGGGAGAATGCTAAACCCTAAACCCTAAACCCTAAACCCGAAACCCTAAACCCTAAACCCTAAACCCTAAACCCTAAACCCTAAACCTTAAACCCTAAACCCTAAACCCTACACCCTAAACCCCAAACCCTAAACCCTAAACCCTAAACCCTAAACCCTAAACCCTAGCCAGGCCCTGTGCAAAGATCTACAGCTTGATTACGAGGTCATTGAGGCCATGGGTCCTATGCGCTTCCAGGGTTCAGGGTTTAGGGTATGCGGACTGATGAAGTCGGTTCGGCGAAAGTGAAACAGTAGCGACGGGTGCACTAATATCGGAAATTATAGTCTGTCAAGTATGCTTTGTACTTGTAGACTCATCGAATGATACTGGTCTAGCCATAGCTGGAGGGTGGCATCTGAAAGATCTGCCGCCAATGAACCAGGTGAAGCACATACCCCATTGTGGTTGAATGATATGCTGTCTAAATTTGTCTTGAAGAATTTGTGCTCTCTGAAAGTTGAGCAGGGCTGTTCTGAAAACACCAATTCTTGTTTGGGCAGCCATGAAACGCCACTTGACACCGGGCAGGGCAGCTCTTATTTCTGCAGCACTCATGCTGACCCATTCAGATAATGGTTTCTGCGATTTACATTTAAATTCGGTCATTACGGCGTGTGGGTTCAAACGAACCATGCAGACCTGTTCAATCCACTCTGGTTCAACCGCTTTGGCGCACAAGCGTGGGATAGCCCATTTAGGGTTTAGGGTTTGGGGTTTAGGGTTTGGGGTTTAGGGTTTAGGGTTTGGGGTTTAGGGTTTGGGGTTTAGGGGTTCAGGGTTTGGGGTTTAGGGGTTCTGGGTCGGGGGTTTAGGGTTTAACCAGGTTGAGGACTTGTGGTTTGGGGCGTTTCGGACCCATGGGTAGGGTCTAGGGTTTTATGAGTTTTGGGGTCTGGGGCTTGGGGTTTCGCAGCTTCGTTTTGGGGAGTTCGGGCTCATGGGCTCTGGCATCACCACTCGTTCTGTACACCAAACCTTCTCGCAATGCGAGAACTTCTAACGGGAACCGAAACCACTGAACCCCCCCCCCCCCCCGCCCCCCTCCCCCACCAAGCAGAGTTCGGGGTTGTAGGCTTCAGCTTCAAAGTAACCCTCAACCCTAAGCCCTAAGCCCTAAGCCCTAAGCCCTAAGCCCTAAACCCTAAACCCTAAACCCTAAACCCTAACCCCTAACCCCTAAACCCTAAACCCTAAACCCTAAACCCTAAACCCTAAACCCTAACCCCTAAGCCCTAAACCCTAAACCCTAAAACCCTAAACTCTAAACTCGAGTAGATTACAGGGCCTTAGGCTTGGGGGTGAACCTGTGCCAGGCTGTTGATGGGCGTGCCCTGGCATCTCAACCTGGCGCGCGGATGGAGCTAGTTCCCCTTCAAAGGCTCTTCATGGGTTTAGGGTTTAGGGTTTAGGGTTTAGGGTTTAGGGTTTAGGGTTTAGGGTTTAGGGTTTAGGGTTTAGGGTTTAGGGTTTAGGGTTTGGGGTGAGCTTTGGGGCTCAGGGTTGAGGGTTGGGGGTTGAGGGTTTAGTTTAGGGCTGAGCCTTGCTCCCTCCACATTCATTAAAATACACATCATTTTTTTCATATATAGTATTTTCTGCAATGCTAATATTATAATATGTATTTCATAATGTACAAATCTAATTTGCAATATTTTATATGAGTAATTATTAGGACTACACTATTAAAAATTGTTGTAAAAAAATTCTTTAATTTATTTTAAAGATATTAGTATTATTAATATTGACATGTGTGATAGGTTCATTATTTCCAAAAACAATATCATATGATCTCCCGATATTATTATATAAATGATTATACATGAATTGTAAAACTAAGAAATTATTAATGAAGTATATTTCACATTATCTATATATACATCAAAATCAGAATTATTCATGTGACAATAATTTTATAATATGTCTATATCAAAATCCCCTACAATAATGCCATTAGTTCTTTGATAATATATATATATATATATATTATATTTACTAACTTCTGTTTGTTTTTAGTTATTTGTATTCATGTTTTTTAGTCATTAAAATCAATATTTGAAATAGGACTATGTTTGTTAGTACAATCAAAAAATAGTTTACACAAATAACTATTGTCATTCTTTATTGTTAGTATGTGATTACTAATATTTTCAAATATTTTAGTATACTAGTTAGCCAAAATTTTTGCTTATTAGAGTATTTATATAAACCATTCATTCTATGATGAAAATTCTTAGCATTAATATCATAAACATCAGAAGAATAAAACACATGCATTTTGTTTGTATAATTTGTAGCATTTTAATCATATTCTGGTATAATATACCAATTATGTTTTTTTATGACATATATACAAGTTATATCCCTATATTCTATTTTTAAATAGTCAATATTCTGTTTATTTCTTATTACATTTTGTTGAGTTCTTTCTTCTGCTATCTGAATTAGTGGTATTTCAAGTTAAAAACATATTTTCTAATACACCACTAATGCTATTTACATTGATAGTATATTCTTTATTTGAATAAAATTCCCCGAAAATTTGGTTTATATGGACATAATGCAAACTTAGAATATTTTGTATATGCACTTTTAAGAAATGCTATTTCTGGAGTATGTGTCAAAAAGGTGTCTTCTATACCATTTGTTATTAATTGCATTATACCTCCGGTCATATTATCATTTTGCATAATTCTGTATTTAAAATAACATATGATTCAAAAGAAGGGAAACTTATAACATGCATTTTTGATATAATTTTAACTTTTACCGTAGCCATTTTGGCTCAAGCGTGGTTGCTTTGATAGCACTGTCACCAAAGTTGCTGCTTCCGCACGCCTCCTGCTTGGAAGAATGCCGCCGCAGCACACCAGCCTTCTTTCCTGCCGCGTCGCTGGTCGCCAACGCATTGGCGCCAAGCATGTTTGAGTTCAATGAAGGTCGAAAGAACATGTTATCCGCCATTTCATTCTTCGCCAGGAGACGGCACCTCCCTTCGCCAAACGTCCCCAGGACGCAGCGGGAGCAATAACTACCCGTGCTCCAAGTGTAAGAAGTGCCCGAGGTGATACGGTAAACTGTCGTCGCTTTCGGACGTTGGGCTCTGTCTCTTGTGTTAATGCCGCTCGAGGCTCCAAATAGAGCAGCTCCACCGCACGCTGGCGATGGACGCTTGGTTTGCTGCTCGGCCCCTCAGCTTGAGCAATATTGTAAACCCCACGTTCTTAGACCATGTCCTCAAAAGAGCCCAGAAAATCTCAGAAGCCCAAGGAAGCTCATCGCCAGTTCAAGGAGGAGTCGGGGTGGGCGGCGTGGGCAGGAGGGTGCATAGCCTGGGTAGGGCGAGCGGGGGCTTTGGTGTGAGAGCTGTTGGAATGGTGGACGCGGGGGTGGGGTCGCAGGATCTTCTGAGCGATCTCGACTCGCTCGATGAGGACGCGTTGCATGGGGCACAGGGGGTCATTCATATGGGTCGACCATTACTATGTTTTTGCAGGACCTCCATGTCCTTTACCTCGCGATACTGGCCGCCGAGGTGGGTGTGAAGGTTTTGGAGGGTTTTGCGTTGAGGGGAAGGATATGCTTTACAATTCATATCAGCTCGGGCTGATATGGTAGGAATTTTTTTAATGGAGGCACGAGTCCAAGCAGTCACGCAAGCGTGGCCTGCTTGCAAGTTTTGCATTTAGGAAGACACTTTCGCGTTTTGTGATGGGCGAGGCTTTGCAATGCCTGCAAGGGCTCCACCAGAAGGTCCAGATGGCCTTGGAAGGCCTGGTGGAAGCCAAAAAGGCTTCGGGCGCGCTGGACCACCGGCACAAAAGTGAAGCGGTCCAGAAGCTGTGGAGGCTCTCCTGAAGTCTGCGGAGGAGAATCTGGACAATGCTTCTGCAACGTATCTGTATCAATAATTGCACATCATATCATCTACCGTTCTTAACGTGCAACGTACGCAGCTATTTTCGCAATCCTGATGGCGCGTTGGATTTTACGGATGAAGCCTCGAAACGTAAAACATCCAGAGGGTGCTGGCTTCTGTACATGTAGGATGATGCTTGGAAGCGTCAAACGTCCACAGGACACGATGCGGACAATAGCATTCCATATCATTCCATGCGACGTGTGTTAGTATCGTCGACAGTTTCGTACTTCGCAAGGCAGACGTCCAAGACCTACAACTTCCAATTATCACTTCGAGCATCACCGCCCTGTCCCGAAGTGTATATTTGCTGGGCATTCTCATTGTACGAAGACGAGAAGTTCCAAGGCGGAATGCAGATTCGCCTTGTAGCCCAGGTTCAGCTTGTCTTTGTAGCAGGACATGATCATAGACCAAGCACAGCCGATGTATTGTCGATCAATGAAGTTCGGGTCTTCGGGCTCTGTCTCTTGTGAAAAAGCCGCTCGGCGTCGTCTTAGACTGGGTATGCCCAGCAAGTACACACTTTGGCACAGAGTGGGGATGCTCGAAGTGACAATTGCGAGCAGAGGTCTGAGTTCGGGAGTTTCCAGGGACACCTTCTCAGAGTTGTCAGCTTTGCGAGGTTGACCTTGGCGACGCTCCGCCACACCCTCATCAAGGAAGAGCATCGCCAGGTGATGTCCGGCCTCGCGGAGGAGTCGGGGCGGCGTGGGCAGGAGGGTGCATAGCCTGGGTAGGGCGAGCGGGGCCGTTGGTGTGGGAGCTGTTGGAATGGGGTGCACGCGGGGCCGGGGTGTGGTCCCTTAGTCAATAGACGGCGCCGACAGGACTTGAGGACGCATTGCACGGGGGCACAGGGGTCTTTCATATTGGTCGACCTTTACTATCAAAAAGTATACTATATCTATCGTATATAGTTTTATTTTTATCAGAGGGGAAAGAAGGTATATTTGCAAGATTTACAATTTATTTTACGTTTGTTTGTTTGTTACGTCATATCTTAACTCATGTTTAATTAAAATTTCTTGAAAAAGGTAAAAACAAAATATACCTTCAAATACTTGCTTGGGTTTCGCAGGACTTCCTGAGCCTGTATGTCCATTTCAATATTCGAATGAATAATGTATTTTGTTTTACTTAATACAAGTTCTATTCAAAAAAACTGCTAAATCGTTGTATTTGTAATTTTCCTTTATTTTTTTTTATTTTATTTATTCAAATTTACTTATTGAAAGTTCGATTTAACAATTCTAATAATTAGAAACTCTATTTGTGTTTGACTTATTAAAAGTTCAATTTAAAATTCCAATTTATTGTATTTTACTCATTCAAAGTTCTATTTAAAGGTCTAAAAAATCTATTCTTTAATGATATTTCATTAAGATATCATATTCTGTTATAATTATAATACATAAATGTGTATAATATATAATTATATATATATTAGAGTTGTATATTATACAATTATTAAGAAAAAACAGAATAGAATACCAAGAGCATCCCACAAACAATTCCATGACAAAGTCACCGAAAATATCTTCAGAAAAGAGAAATAATTAAAGCTAGAATAGCATACTAAGAAAATTCCAGAAAAAATTCTGCGAAGACTTCCGCGAAATATTCCGCAAAAAGCCCGAAAGTTCCACGAGCAATTCCACGAAAAAATCACCGATCAAATTCCCGAAAAACCTGCGAAAAAACCCACGAACAATTGCACGAACACCTCCCCGAAAAAATTCATGAACAATTCCACGAAAAACCACCCGAAAAATTCCACGAAAAAATCCCCGAAGAACTCCACGAAAAGATCCCAGAAAAATTCCCCGAAAAACTCCACGAACAATTCCACGAACAATTCCACGAACAACTCCACGAACAAATCCAGGAAAAACTCCACGAAAACTCCCCGAAAAACTCCACGAGCAACTCCACGAACAAATCCAGGAAAAACTCCACGAAAACTCCACGAAAATTCCACGAACAATTCCACGAAAATTTCCACAAAAAATCCCCAAAAAAGAAAACACATAAAACTAGAACAAAATACTACGAAAATTACACGAAAGATTCCCCGAGAACAATCTTCTCAAAAAGAAAAATACATTCAATTAGAATAAAATACTAAGAACTTTCGAGGAAAATTCTACGAACACTTCCACAAAAAATCACCAGAAAAAGAGAATTCATAAAGTTAGATAGAATACAATACTAAGAAAATTCCACGAAAAATTCCTCAGAAAAAGAAAAATAAATAGCATTAGAATAAAAAACTAATAAAATTCCAGGAAAAAGTCCTGGATGCAAAGCCCTCAGCCCAAAAAACCCTCGCAGCCATAGAATCCTGAAAGGCCTGAACCCTATAGCCCAGGGGTGTGCTAAACCTAAACCCTACCCTAAACACTAAGCCCTTTCGTGAGGGCTTAGGGTTGTTGCAAGAGCCAGCCTCCCCCCCCAAGTCG